AGGTCTATGCTGTAACCGGAAAGACGTGTTATTTGTAGAAATCGCCGTCTAGCAAGTTGCTAAGTTTTTAAAGAATGACAAGAGAGAAATATCTTCCTGCCTGACGATAATAAATACTGAAAACCAGCTCGCTACCTCGCCTACCTACTGACTTCACGCGTGAAACACATGATGCGGAAATGGCACCTTTATTCGTTCATCATAGACTGTACGTCACTGCAAGATTGAGGGAAAATACTGTACCCGCGTTGGTCAACCGGACCATCTCAAATTTTGCTTTCTTTCCGTACGATTGAGTCCGTTTCGTTTCGTTTCGTTTGACGAACACAGTGTAAATGTCAGTAGACCAGGTGTGTTTGTGACTTTGATGTTCTTTGATTTTCTTACATCCACTTCTGGAGATTGTTTCTTAAAATGTTCAACGACGCCAAGGACCAATCAGACGAGACGTCGGTAATCAATCAGCCAAAGTGTTCAGGCCTATTAAAATCGCCTTTGCATTTATAGCAGTTGTGCGCCGCTATGCGCGCGTCACACGGAGTCGTGGACTTTAATAAGCTTTCGGCAAAAACCGACCTCCATCAGAAACGCATGGAGAGTAAACTGACGATAAATAAACGCATAACCGTCACCGTCATCGTAGCTGCAGACGTTTCATTCATATTTAAATATGCGAGCTCAATCAACATTAAAAATATGACTTATGTTCGTAATCTGCTTGCACAATCGAGTGTTTTCAGGCGACGTCTACAGCGTAGATAGACGTCATCTCAGTGGATCACTAAGATGTCAGCTGATGATTCGCTACGGCTATTCTGTTGGCCGTTTCTTGGACGTTTGACCTGAACATCAACCAGGACACTACTGTAGTTAAGTCACGGCCATCGATATCCCGCAGTATATGAAAACAAGATCATAACTCATTCAAAAACAGTTTAGCGGCCTATTGCACTGCCTCATTTTTCCTGCTCATCGAACGGGACGACGGCATGTGAACGTGAGTGATCACAGCTCTATTGTTTCTGACCAACTGCAGCGGTAGACGCGTTTGTCATCAGTTGGCAAGCGAGGATAATACGTAGCTCGTTACCGGCGGTTGGACCTATGTTGATACTCCGATGATGCCTTCGTTTCCATGCGGGTTCCTAAGCCTGAATATGTCTCTTTTCTGTTTGGTATATGTTGCCATGTTTCATGTATGTTACTGGCCAGCTATCAGGTTGATTAAGATGAATTTCAAGCGTAAAATGCCCCCCTCAGACAGACGGACGGTCATCGTATGGCACGTACGACGTGACGTTACCAAACTACACCAAGCCACATGTCGTATCCCTACTGTTGCTGAACTGGTTACACAGAGGAACGAATTCTTTTCACAAAGGAATAGGTCATTCTGAGAAAGAGAAACGTTTAGGCCGCACATCGAACCCAACCCTACATTTAACGCACGAATAAATTATCAGTCTACAACGCTACTGTCCCCTGCATATAAAAACAAGGTTGTTCCGTCAGCAGAGCATTGGACTCACAACCGAGATGTCGGAGTGCCAGCAACGGTAGGGCCGGTAGTCTTCCTTATTTACGAGGTTCATGAATGAGTATCACTGCGTGGGCATGAAACAGGTGAATACATTTAGCGCTTATCACATGGTTGATGCTGACTCTGCCTTAAAGATAAGGGGTGCTCATGGCAATGGCATGCAAATGGAGACTCAGCGTCCCATCATTAACTTCATGGAAAGAAGGAAGGCCGTCAGAATTGGCCAAATCATGAAAGTGTGAAAAAGACAGACATTCCAAGTTTCTTATTCTTTTTTTCATACAAGGTGTTAAGCGTACCCCCCCTCCCCCTCAAACTTAATGTCACAGCGTGTTACTTCGATGGAGAGGGAAAACATTTAAGCAAGTCATGACCTCGTGACTACCGAGTACCTGTTAAGCACTGACGAACGCTGATTTGCTGCTCGCAACTTGCCACTCAACTATGAACTAATACATCCATGACTGCAGCACCACGGTTCCGTATTCACTGGAGGTAAGTTCCTCATTGCATGTCCGCCGAAAGTCAGTTAAATAATGTCTGGCGCGCGGCTCGTCGGTACAAACTCGCCTACCGGGAAAGGGGTTGCTTGACCTGCAGGATCGGTTGTGATTTTGATCGTCAAGCTACAGTAGCCTACGCCGTGCCACTGTGTTGGCTATCCACTTCTAGCCTACGGTCAGCCGGTCGGTCACTTTGGTAGACCAGGTATTGGAGAGAATCATGGTCCATTGAGTGAGAGTCAAACAGGTAACCCTGAATGCCATTCTCGCCTATGGCCCGACAACCGCGCACTGTCGCAGTGACGAAAACGCCTGCTATTGCTGCCCGCAGTCGGCTGTTGACGTTCTGTCGCATCGCCACGTCATAACTGTCAGAGACTAGCTCAACGGGAAAGGGGGGGGGGGGCACCTATTACAGCTTATGGCCAGGCGTATTTGCCGTTTCGATGCTCACAGCGTGAATGACAGCGGCAGATGCCTTTCCCTTTTTCCTTATAAGCGTATTCCCCGAACCTGCGAGGGAAGCCTAAGCAGCAAGCTGGACAACGTCCTCATTAAGCACAAATGGCGCAACTGCTTATTCGAGGCGCACATCAAGCAAAGAGCCATTAACTCTGTTTTTAACCTCACCCC